ATCCCTCTATTAAATGCCAGTCTACTTTTGAGAGGCATGAGCTTTCAGCTGCTGTTCCATTGTACAACAGAATCCATCGGCCCTCTGCCTGTTAAGCTGCCTTTGAAGAAAAGGGCACTGTACCTTTTCCGGATGCGAAGGCCACTTCAGGGATGGGGCCATATTGTCCTGGCCTCAGAAGATGCCTTTTGATAAAAACGTTCTTTTCATCCATTCTTGAATTTTTAACTAACTAGCACCTAAATTGCAAATGGATACATTCATGAGGGATCCTGTACCACCACAGCATCCCTCTTACTGGAGGTTTGAGAGGTCTGTTGCCAGTCCAGGAGTTACTAACTTACAGCTAATCCTCTCTGGATAACATTGTTTTTCTTTTGCTTTTGAGACAGTGTCTTGCTATGTCCACCTGGTTGGTTTTGAATTTGGTAATCATGCTGTCCCATCCTACTGAGCACTGGGATTATAGGCATGTGCCATCACTTCAGGAATCTGAATGAATGCCTTGAATGGATTTTACTTCCCTTTGATGATTGGGGATTTCATACAATTCTATCTCTTTGGGGATTTATAATACTTCCTTATCTAAGAACACATTCCTTCTCTTGGTCCGGAAGTTTTCAGTCATGATGGCTTCTCTCTTTGCTTTTCCTCAATCATGTCTTCTGATATTTGTGTGTATGTAGTCTTGCCAACCTTGTCCTTCATCTCTCTTCCATATCTTTTCCTCTGTTGTTGTTAGTGTAGCTCAAGCTGGCCCTGAACTCATGGCAATCCTCCTGTCTTGGCCTTTCAGAGTGCTGAGATTACAGGTGTAAGCCTGCTTCTTTTCTGTATTTTCCATCACTATATTCCCATGTGATTTTTTTTGTTTGTTTGTTTTTCGAGATAGGGTTTCTCTGTGTAGTTTGGTGCCTATCCTGGATCTCGCTCTGTAGACCAGGCTGGCCTGGAACTCACAGAGATCCGCCTGACTCTGCCTCCCGAGTACTGGAATTAAAGGCATGCGCCACTGCCACCTGGCCCCATGTGATGTTTTTGTAATTTTTCCTTTAACTCAAATAGTTGTTTGATTGGGACGTCTATGAGTGAATTATTTGTCTTTGCTGAAAGTGTTATTT